CTCTCACTCTCTCTCTCTCTCTCCTTCCCTCTTCCTCTTTCTCTCTCTTTTCCATCTGAATCACCATGGAATAAGTCAACGCCTGCTTGGCCACATAATATAACTGCCCCCACACACTGAACGTGCTTTGACTCATTATTTGCTAATATTACTGTACAATACTACACCACTGGAGGAGGATGACGTAGGACTGTTTGCCCATGTCTTATAAGGACTACGACACAGGAGTGAGGACATGTGCCTGTGCCCACATTCCAGAACACAAAGGCCAGCGTGCAGCAGGGAGGGAGTGCCCCACTTATTGGACTGTGTGTGTGAGGTGTTAGGCTCTGGTTAGCACGTCTCTTCTAGTGACATGTCTCTTCGAGGGCCTGTTTTCTCTCACAGAGAGTGTATTAACAATATGCTGACATGCTCTCACTAAGTGCTCTGTCTCTCTTAGGGTTTGCCCATCCTGTGCTGTCGTTGTTTGTACAGTAGTATCCCTCTGCCTCTTACACACTACTCTCTTAACACGTAGCAGGATGCTATGTCTCCTTCCTGTTGACGCAACCCCAGAGCTGGGAAAAGGGAAAGCAGAGGGAAGTGGAGCTGTTGTCCCCTATCCAGGCAGGGCGCTCCGGGCAGGGTGCTTCCTGTCCTGACAGAGAGAGAGAGAGGAGGAAGAGATAGCCGTGAAAGGAGCTTTTGGAATAGGGAGGAATCGCTGGGCGCTTGGACCACTTTCAATGACTTACAATCTTACCTGAGCGGAGTGTGGTATGAATCCTCTAGTACAACACAGCAGAATTTGGGAGAGGGGTTTGGTGCCTCTTGGCTTCCCTACCCACCTCTAGTAATGAGGCTAATGAGATAGGACACTATTGAGTAAACTAAGATCCCTATCAACCTTTCCAACGACACACAGCTTTGTATTCTGCCTCTAAATCTAAAAACAGACAACCGATGTGTTGGTTGGTTTTCACAGTGCTCCAAGCTGCATTTCCAATAAGTTTGGATGAGAGCTGTAATTAGTATGACCTTGATGATATCACGCTGATGGAAACATTTTACGTGCTGATTTCAAAAGGAGGCAAATTACAGTAACTGGGAAAAAAGCATGTTTTACAGTATACTGAACAGTATGTTTGTGTTTTATGGAACAACAGTTTTATCAGAAATCTTTTTGAACATTATTTTTGCATTCGAAATACCTGTTTGGGTATTCTGATGTGCACTTTGAGACACTAACCACTATGTTTTATGTAAGTCCTCTATGTGTCTGTCATTTCGATAGGACCAGTCAACTCTAACCCAGCCACAGTCTATCTTTGTCTCTCCCTTCCACTGTCACGGTCAGACGGCCGTGAAATAATCCTTGACATCGTTATATTCTCTTCAATGAAACACAACATTATGGCATATACAGACAGCACTGTATTATACAGTACCATTATTCCAGATGGTTACCTGTCTCTTATACAAACAATCTAAGAAAACATTTGGAGGTGGCCTGCCTGTCTGTCTGTCTGTCTGTCTGTTTCTCCTCCCCTCTCTCTCTTTAGGGTGGTGTTAGTCACAATGATTGTGTATGTGGGAAAAACGGTTATATCTCTGGTGGAGCTGTATGTAAACATGACCTCCTCTTCCTCTGGCTCCCTGGCCCTGGCTCCCTAGCCCTGGATCCCTGGCCCTGGCTCCCTAGCCCTGGCTCCCTAGCCCTGGATTCCTGGCCCTGGCTCCCTGGCCCTGGCTCCCTGGCCCTGAATCCCTGGCCCTGGCTCCCTAGCCCTGGCTCCCTAGCCCTGGCTCCCTGGCCAGCATTGACTGTGGATGATAGCTGGACGTGGTATCATGAAGTGAACTTAGGAAGGGATGGGTTTATCTTGTCAGGACAGTTGTGGTTATCCTGTTGGACTGGGAGGGAGTGTTTCATTTTTCATCTACACAACACTCACTTGGAAACATATAAGGTTATAGTACCTGGAAAAGATGGAGACCCACACACTGTCTAAAATATCCAAAACTGTGGCTTGAATGCAAAATAAAGATGTTTATTAAAACAGGTTATAGTACCTGACATACAATAAGAAGCGAAAAACGAATAGTAACCTGTTTTCTTTGCAATACAACCAATGTAATTTGAAGCTCTAAACAAAATAATGTCTGCATCATGATGATTCTGTCTTCTTTCTCAATACTCCAGAGGTTAAGTATCACACATTCTGTTTCTGTGAACTAGGTCTATGTTGAATAAAACAGATGTTTTACCTACAGTGTGGAGCTTGAGGGAATGATCTGCATACCACACACACACACAAGCACGCACGCACACACGCACGCGCGCGCACACACACACACACACACAAGCACGCACGCACACACGCACGCACACACACACACACACACACACGCAAACACACTCACCACAGTCATGTCTGAAATCTTTTTGCTTCTGGACTAAACTAAGCCTGTCTCCATACACATAATTGTGATTTTGTACAGTAGTTAGATGGTAGCACAGCTTCTTAATTATGGGGTAGAAATAATGAGGATGTAGGAGTCATTTGGGAGCAGACTTCTGAAACACAAAGAGAGGCTGCCAGGCCTTTGTCTGAAGTCTGTTGTGTTTGATCTCCCTGAAAACCCAAAGTGAGAAAGATAACCCAACTCAGAACAAAGGCTGTTCTCACTACTTTCTCTGAAGTCATGGGAATACTCTCTTCAAGAGTGTAAAGGAGGGCACACTGTATTTGGGACAAACGAAAGATGAAGAAAGGATGAAACATTTTGCTGTATGTATGTTGTACTGTTGGTCCTTGAAAAAGCTGACTCAGAGTGACCACAATGACAGATAGTGACAGCCAAAGTAGCAGCTTTCTAACACAGGCCTGAACTAATGTCATCATTGGTCTCAACCACCACAACATGGTCCTCTATTTACAGTGATCCCAGGTCAGAGGGACACATCAATGGGTGTGTAACCCCTTTGAAGGACTGGGTTTGACCTCTTTAGAGTGAGCGAACTAGACTGCTTTTTATTTCAAAGAGCGTGTATTGTCCATACACCACAAGTTCTGCAATATTTACCTTGATATTTTTTCAAAAGATTCCAGCGAGGAATCTATGCTGAGTGGTGTGTTTGTGTGTGCGTTTTTTCTTTTTGCAGTAAGTGTACATTTGGTGTGTACAGTATGTCTGTTATTTTGCTCTAGGGCAAGTGAGTGGTGCCTTGTGAGCTGTGGAACCCTCCCACACGCCCACACCTCCAGGCACCAGAGGAGGGGCCCAGTGTGTTTGGGCCAGAGTAGGGCCAGGGCAGGTCGGCTCAGCTCCCCCGGCTGGTCTACTTCCTGCCAGGGACCACGGGCTGTGTGGAGGCGCATGTCTCTTTGGTTTATGGGAGGCCGGAAAGAAGGCTAGAATAAACTAAAGTTGTTTAATTTACAGGCCCGCCAGGGCCACACTCCCATATTTCAAACTGTCTTTAAAGCGTAGCACCTACCTTTGGTGACAGAGGCCAGCTGTGTCTGTGTCACTGTCTGTTTCACGCCTGCACAGACAGCATACTGTATAATCCAATCCACTTTTAATGTGCTATATATATACCGTTGATATTGGCCTGCACATTATTAAAGGGCAGAGCAGCTTCAGAACAAAGCATGTTCTGTGCTAAAAAGACAATCTGTTTCATGCTTTAGTTGGTAAAAAACAGTTCCTAAAACAACTGATGGTAGGGTCTTGGTAAGAAGCACAGACAATCATTACAGTATTTTTCATCCAACTCTCTTGTTACATATTTCAAAAAGAAGTTGCATTGCAACAACAATCCAGAGAGAATGGGTGATAACTGCAGTCCTTCTTTGCATGGCTTTTCCATTCTGAGGTATTAATACTAATCAAATCAAATCAAATTGTATTTGTCACATACACATGTTTAGCAGATGTTATTGCGGGTGTAGCGAAATGCTTGTGCTTCTAGCTCTGACAGTGCAGTAATATCTAACAAGTAATATCTAACAATTTCACAACATATACCCAATACACACAAATCTAAGTCAGGAATGGAATTTAAGAATATATACATATATGGACAAGCAATGACAGAGTGGCATAGACTAAGATACAGTAGAATATTATAGAATACAGTATATACATATGAGATAAATAATGCAAGATATGTAAACGTTATTAAAGTGACTAGTGTTCAATTTTTTTAAGTGGTCAGTGATTTCAATAGGCAGCAGCAGCCTCTACTGTGCCAGTGATGGCTATTTAACAGCCTGATGGCCTTGTGATAGAAGCTGTTTTTCATTCTCTCGGTCCCAGCTTTGATGCACCTGTACTGACTTCGCCTTCTGTAGGTGTCCTGGAGGGCGGGTAGTTTGCCCCCGATAATGCGTTTGGCAGACTGCACCACCCTCTGGAGAGCCCTGTGGTTGCGGACAGTGCAGTTGCCGTACCAGGCGGTGATACAGCCTGACAGGATGCTCTCAATTGTGCATCTGTAAAAGTTTGTGAAGGTTTTAGGTGCCAAGCCAAATTTCTTCAGCCTCCTGAGGTTGAAGAGGCTCTGCTGCGCCTTCATCACCACATTGTCTGCGTGGGTGGACAATTTAAGTTTGTTAGTGATGTGTACGCCAAAGAACTTGAAGCTTTCCACCTTCTCCACTGCGGTCCCGTTGATGTGGATAGGGGGGTGCACCCTCTGCTGTTTCCTGAAATGTTCCACTGTTAGAGAGACCCTGTGGTATAGGGTTCTTTCCTTGGCCCATACATGATGCATTGTGTTTTTAATGAAACACCATGATTGCCATTAGATCCAGGTGAGTGACTTTGCATTAATGCATGATGGCCGACCACAAAGGCTATTGTGGCACAGACAGTGGTTTGGTTATTCATGTGTATTGGCTTTCAGCATGTGACCCTTCGGCTCATAGTCTCCATGCCCTCAGAACGAGACCGTGCATTTGCACCCTCTCACAAAACCTTCTCTGGGACACGTTATTTCCCCTGAATGAATGCATCCACACAGCCGTCCCGCTGTACAGCGGTGGAAAATTAGAGTTGGCCCGAGACAACATGCTCCTGAGTCCGTAGGCCTGCCCATCAAGAAGTCCAGTGAGCACGGAGCCAAAGCAGCTCCAGTGTCAGGAATTAATGTGGATGCAGCCCTGGATCAGATCAGGTAGCCTCACTGACTTCACAAGAGGGCCTAATTCCAGTGGAGACTGGAACAAAAGCAGTCCTGACAATGCACATACTTTGCCCTGGATGAGTCAGTCACTGTTATCAGCACACACCATCGCACGTTGTTTACTTGACTTATCCTAACTAATCTGTGTGATTTAGATGTTGTGATGTGGTGGTGTGGAAAGAGTCAGGCGCAGGAGGGTAAATCACAGAAACACAGGCTTTAATCCACAAAAATATAGGTTTACGCAGAAATGCGTCAAACACACTCCAGTGCACCAACCAGGTGCACTGGAAAATACAAAGCACACAGGAAATCTCCCGTCGATACAAAATGCACGAGCTCCACCGAGCTTCCCTAACCTCCACAAATAACAATCACCCACACAGACAAGGAAGCAGAGGGAACACTTATACAATGACTAATGAGGGAATAAGGACCAGGTATGTGTGATTGAAGACAAGACAAATGGAGTGATGATAAATGGATCGGCAGTAGCTAGTAAGCCGGTGACGCCGAACGGCGAAGCCTGCCTGAACAAGGAGGGGAGGCAGCCTCGGCGGAAGTCGTGACAGATGTGTTCCTCCTCTTTAGAAACACGTGTTTTTCTCTCCACACAGGGAATGTCAAGTTCATTGCTTTTCTAACCTTGAGGTTATTGATCTATCCCTCACTCCATTAGCTCTGCCCCTTTGAAGGTATGTGCTCTCCCACTCCTGAATGGAGAGAACATCTGAAATCTTTATCAGTGGCACAGGGAGGGGGGTCCTAGTGTGGTTCTGTGTTTGCTATATCTCCCCCGAGAGGGCATATATCACGAAGCCAGGAGAGCGCTGACTCCCCTAGCTATCAGCTGTTGCTTTAGATTAATAGATCGCTACATTAGCAAAGCCTTGACCTCATCTTTAGAAGACTTCCATAGGAAAAACAGGAAACCCTGGGATACTCATCGGTTGCATCCCAAAAACTTCTGGGTTAACCATTACAACACCAGCTTCAATGTTATAACAGTAAAGTGTTAGTGAGAAAATGTAAAGGAATTTTAGAGTAAAAGATGAACAATGCTATAGCATTTTTTTATGCTGTAGAGATCAATGTTCGATCATCTTCGACAGCCTGTATAACAAACTGAATAACATGTACTAGCTACAAGATAGGCCTACTACATTGTACAAGTGTTGCTATTAGGTCAAACTGCTCCGGAAATAAGGCCTATTAGGGATATACATTCATCTGTGTCTGCAAGTCTTGCTGAATTCCTTTGGTTTTGTGAGCTGTGAGCTCAGTTGGCTGTGAACCAGAGGACTGAGAGGGTCTGTCCAGCAGGACATTCTGGATTAGACCACAGCTGTCCGTCTCACAGCTTCTCACCAGAATAAACATTTAAGTAGTAACATCATCAGACACACTGGACTGTGTGAATCTGGCAGGAAGAGCACAGGCGAGGTGACAGGGTACACGCTCCACCCTAGTCATCATCTCTCCAACCCCAACTATTCCAACAGTGTAGTGCAGACAGGTGGCTGATACAGTAGAATGATGGACACTCCTTTGTATAAATCATAAATGAAAGGACAGTATTGTCTTTGGAGGTGTGTTTATGGGTGTGTTGGAGCCCACAGGTCATCATACCCCCAACTGTGAAAGCACATTAAAACACACACACACACAGTTGGGAGACAGCATACAGTAGCACTGTAATTTAATGCAGAAAACTCAGAAACAACTCATTTTGGGGACAGTTCTTCTGTACTCTCCCTCGCCCTCCATTTGGCAAATCTGAATATAACTCCATCCTCTTAATTCCTGTTTACAAGCAAAAACTCAAACAGGAAGTACCAGTGATGCCCTCAATATGGAAGTGTTCCGATGAAGCGGACGCTAAGCTACAGGACTGTTTCGCTAGGACAGATTGGAATATGTTCCGGGATTCATCCGATGGCATTGAGGAGTTTACCACATCAGTCACTGGCTTCATTAATAAGTCCATCGACGACGTAATCCCCACAGTGACCGTACGTACATATCCTAACCAGAAGCCATGGATTACAGGCAACATCTGCACTGAGCTAAAGGCTAGAAATGCCCCTTTCAAGGAGCGGGACACAAATCCGGACGCTTATAAAAAATGTTTATACGCCCTCCGATGAACCATCAAACAGGCAAAACGTCAATACAGGACTAAGATCGAATCCTAGTACACCGGCTTTAACATTCGTCAGATGTGGCACGGCTTGCAAACTATCACGGATCACGGGAAACCCAGCCACGAGCTGCCCAGTGACGCAAGCCTACCAGACAAGCTAAATGCCTTCTATGCTCGCTTCGAGGCAATCAACACTGAACCATGCATGAGAGCACCAGCTGTTCCGGACCACTGTGTGATCACGCTCTCTGTAGCTGATGTGAGTAAGACCTTTAAACAGGTTAAAATTCACAAGGCCGCAGGGCCAGATGGATTACCCGGACACGTACTCAGAGCATGCGCTGACCAGCTAGCAAGTGTCTTCACTAACATTTTCAACCTCTCCCTGACCCAGTCTGTAATACCCACATGTTTCAAGCAGACCACCATGGTCCCAAGAACGCCAAGGTAACCTGTCTAAATGACTATCGCCCTGTAGCACTCACATCTGTAGCCATGAACTGCTTTGAAAGGCTGGTTATGGCTTACATCAACACCATCATCCCCGGCACCCTGGACGCACTCCAATTCGCATACCGCCATCTACAGATCTACAGATCTCTATTGCACTCCACACTGCCCTTTCCCACCTGGACAAAAGGAACACCTATGTCAGAATGCTGTTCATTGACTACAGCTCAGCATTCAACACCATAGTGCCCTCCAAGCTCATCACTATGCTAAGGACCCTGGGATTAAATACCTCACTCTGCAATTGGATACTGGACTTTCTGAGGGTAGGCAACAACACATCCGCCACACTGACCCTCAACAAGTCGTGAAGAGGGCAAGACAATGGCTCTTCCCCCTCAGGAGGCGATAAAGATTTGAAGTGGGTCCTCAGATCCTCAAAAGGTTCTACAGCTGCACCATTGAGAGCATCTTGACTGGGTGCATCACCGCCTGGTATGGCAACTGCTTGGCATCCGACCGCAAGGCGCTATAGAGGGTAGTGCGTACGGCCCAGTACATCACTGGGGCCGAGCTCCCTGCCATCCAGGACCTCTATACCAGGTGGTGTCAGAGGAAGGCCCTAGAATTTGTCAAAGAATCCAGCCACGCAATTCACAGTCTGTTCTCTCTGCTACCACATGGCAAGCAGTACCGGAGCGCCAAGTCTGGGACCAAAAGGCTCCTGAACAGCTTCTACCCCAAAGCCATAAGACTGCTGAACTGCTTTTCACCCCCTACCTACATGTACATATTACCTCAATCAATCACCCCAACTACTTCGTACCCCAGTACACTGACTCGGTACCGGCACTCCTTGCATTTAGCCTGTATATAGCCTCGTTATTGTTATTTTATTGTGTTACTATTTTATTTGTATCTATTTGTTAATTTGAATACTTTTTAACTGCATTGTTGGGAAAGGGCTCATAAGTAAGCATTTCATGGTAAAGTCTACACTTGTTGTATTTGGTGCATGTGACAAATTTGACAATCCTACCCCTGGTGACATTGTAATGATATGATGTGTTTTCCAGTAACTCCCTCAGATTGTGTATGGAGTGAGCCTGAGTTCTGGAGACTAAACACACCCTGTGATCGAGGAGTGCATGCTCGCTCCACCCACTACTATTAAGCTTTAGGAGCACTCATAGAGTTCAGCATAACAATGATGAAGAATGATGCAATGGGTGAGTCGCCCTTACTACTTTTCATCCTACCAAAATATAAGTACCTGCTGTGTATGGTGGCGTACTCTGAAATCCCTACTTTTCTCAGAAGTCTACATCCTAAAGCGGAAGTGATTCATATCTGAGGTAGCTGGAGGATTCTTGAACGTGTAGTTTGGTTTGGGATAATGGCCAAAACTGTTGTAATATGGTAATATTTACATTTTAGCGAGAGATGACAGCCTATTACTGGCTGTTGCATTGGGACTTGTTATGTTTCCAAGGCAGAGGTCATTGTCCTGCCAAGATACATGAGAGGAGATGTGTCAGAGTCAGTCTCAGCCAGGCCCATTGCCTTGCTCTCCTAACTGGGCTGACTGATCACAGAAATGTGCTTCAGACTGTCACTAGACATGCTAGTTTCTCATCACCATTTATTACTGTACATGTTGGGAGAAACATTGATGTACCCACATTCATGAAAATACTTAACAAGAGAAATAGGACAATGTGTAGGCTTACTAATTTATGGAGATTCCAGCTTGCTATAATAACAAAATGTTCCTTTTACGCCAACCTATTAGTACTGAGCAATTAGTGCTTTTTTGATTTATGTGGGTTATGTGGGTTGAATGCTGTAATAACACAGAATTAAACAATTAATAAAAGTCCCATGATGGTAGTGACTGCCCATTACTGCTTATCACTTATTAACCATTATTTATTCACATTACTTTACTTTAATACAATATTTCAATTGTTGTGTATATTACATTTGTTTTATTTGATGACATTATCACTATAGAGCTGCTGCCTATATGCTGTCTGACAAAATCACTATTTTAGTAGTTCTTCAAAGTAAGGCATACTTTTATGACTGCTGAATACCAACTATAAATAACTTAGATCAGGGTTCCCCAAATGGTGGCCCTCGGGCCGAATTTTATTTGTCCCACAAAGTTTTCTGAGTTCAACAAATAATAATAATAATTGTTGGACATAAAAGACTGTGAAAACACCAGCAAATCAGCTCCAAGTGATTATAATTTTGGAAATCTGTTCCAAAGTATTCCCACGCATAATAGAGAGATATAGGCCTATGTGATCGTATACAAATGTAAGCAAGGTTATAAATGATGTTTTAGTCAAATATGATATCTGTTTGGGCTTCTTGCGGTCAATTTGCAGTCTACCAATTATTTGTAATTATTATCCGCCCCCCTGACCATCCGTTTAAGAAAAAATCTGCCTGCGGCTGAATGTAGTCGATGATCCCTGACTTACTTATTTTCAGGTAGAGATAATTTGCTAAGCAACTGCTCTCTATCCGTCTCGATCGTGCATTCTTCTGTCTCTTCTCATAGCAGGCATAAAATAAACACACAGACTGGACAAGTAGGCACACAATGGATTATGGTAATTGGCTATGTAGAATATTGGCGTGTTAGAAACTACAACTCCCTACTACATCGCACTGTTCGGTCTTGAACTGATTTATCTCTAGAGAAACTGCGCAATGTGTGCATTGAGCTCACAGAAAAAAAAAGAGCGAAATGGAATTCAAATAATTGAACCGCCGTTGGTCAATTAGTTGTTTAAAAAACGAACAATACCAGAAATGTTGGTTAATTGCTAAGCACTACAACCTATAAATCAGTATCTAATCAATGGTACCATTTCTGCTGTTTATTGCCAAGTAAACGTTGAATTCACAGTGAAAATACATGTACGTACCAGGATTACCTCAACAGCTAGAGGTCATCAATCTGATGACCTCGATAGTGGATGAGTCATTTGCAGCTAAGATGTTGCCTCCTTATTTTCTATCTAACACACCCCACCCTTCCTGCTGGAAAGAAACCTATTATAATCAGCTGTGAGAATGTAACATCATTCCACATGAATATCCTGGTGTTGGAAAAGGTGAACCATATTGGGAAATTCCCTCAGGTTCAAAGGAAAGCGGGTAGGTGTGAGTTCTGGCATTCTTGGGGAGGATATGGCATGGGGATTTAACCTAAGCCATCAAATGCTATATGACAGACCCATAGAGTCAAAGTCATGTATTTTCTCTTGTAGAAAAGGTATCTGGTAGAGGAGTGCTGTGTCTGTGTGTAGGACCTGTTGAGTGCCTGTAGATTTGTCAGTACTTCTTTCATATATTGTCCCAAGCCCTCTCTTCTCTGTGAATGTGCTGCCTGCCTGTCTGCCTGACTGACTTTATAAGGAACTTCCTGTGTGGTGACGTCATGCATGCACCAGAGTGAAGAGGTCTGCTCTGTTAGGGGAGGGAGCAGTGATGGGAGGGGAGGGGAGGGGCGGGGGCATGGGGTAATACTCACTACACAAAGTTCTCCAGTCGATCCTATCCATTCAATTTTTCTGTCCAATCTAGTCTTTTTTCATTTCATTCTCTTACACAGTACTATGCTTCTTCTCTAGTGTGAATATGAAATCACTGTAAATAGGTAATGCCAACAAAAGCTGGCAAAATAAACAAAGCAATATGTATTTACTGTGCAGACTTGATTTTATGCAGTTGCACAGAAATCACATGCAACACACAGCTCTCAAGCTCACCTTCATATCCACAAACACCCATACAAACACCCATGCAGTAATCTGATCTCACAACCCCATCATTCTCCTGCTGGCAACAACTGGCCCAAAGGAATTTTAAAAATGTCCTTGAAATTATAAAGGGGGATTAGAGAGAGCCTGGTCCATCCACGGCCAAATATCTAATGATAAGCCTGTTAGGTCCAGGGGCCAAGGCTGGCTATGGAGATTTACCAAGTCAAGCAATAAGCACACTTTGTTCCCTCCACTCACCTCCAGTTTCTGCCTCTATTTATTTAGCAATGCACTTGTTTGTAGACATTGTATGGCTGTGTTCGGTTAGTATGCATGGTTGTAGCTGGTTTGTTTAGCCTAGTTACACTACATGAGTATGTGGACACCTGCTCGTCGAACATCTCATTTCAAAATCATGGGCATTAATATGGCGTTGGTCCCCCCTTTGCTGCTATAACAGCCTACAGTCTTCTGGGAAGGCTTTCCACTAGATGTTGACACATTGCTGCGGGGACTTGCTTCCATTCAGCCACAAGAGCATTAGTGAGGTCAGGCACTGATGTTGGGCAATTAGGCCTGGCTCGCAGTCGGCGTTCCAATTCATCCCAAAGGTGTTCGATGGGGTTAAGGTCAGGGCTCTATGCAGGCCAGTCAAGTTCTTCCACACCGATCTCAACAAATCATTTCTGTATGGACCTCACTTTGTTCACGGGAGCATTGTCATGCTGAAACAGGAAAGGGCCTTCCCCAAACTGTTGCCACAAAGTTGGAAGCACAGAATCGTCTAGAATGTCATTGTGTGCTGTAGCATTAAGATTTCCCTTCACTGGAACTAAGGGGCCTAGCCCAAACTATGAAAAACAGCCCCAGACCATTATTCTTCCTCCACCAAACTGTACATTTGGCACTATGCATTGGGGCAGGTTCTCCTGGCATCCACCAAACCCAGATTCGTCAGTCAGACTGCCAGATGGTGAAGCATGATTCATCACTCCAGAGAACGCGTTTCCACTGCTCCGGAGTCCAATGGCGGCGAGCTTTACACCACTGCAGCCAAAGTTTGGCATTGCGCATGGGGATCTTAGGCTTGTGTGCGGCTGTTCGGCCATGGAAACCCATTTTATGAAACTCCCGACAAACAGTTATTTTGGTGACATTGCTTCCAGAGGCAGTTTGGAACTCGGCAGTGAGTGTTGCAAGCGAGTACAGACGATTTTTATGCGCTACGCTGGTCCCGTTCTGTGAGCTTGTGTGGCCTACCACTTCGTGGCTGAGCCTTTGTTACTCCAAGACATTTCCACTTCACAATAACAGTACTTACAGTTGACTGGGGCAGCTCTAGCAGGGCAGAAATTTGATGAACTGACTTGTTGGAAAGGTGGCATCCTATGACAGAGCCACATTGAAAGTCACTGAGATCTTCAGTAAGGCCATTCTACTGCCAATGTTTGTCTATGGAGATTACATGGCTGTGTGCTCGATTTTATACACCTGTCAGCAACAGGTGTGGCTGAAATAACCGAATCCACAAATGTGAAGTGGTGTCCACATACTTTTGTGTATATATAGTGTAGGTTAAACTGACACACACAAAGTTTATAATGGCTAGGTCAGTGGCCGGAGCTGTTCCAGCAGATATTCAAGCAGACAGAAAGTGAATCCCCCATTTAAGTAATGCTAAATACAGATCTGTTGAAGGGTTTTGATACAGTGTAATAAATGTGTAATATATAAACAGTGTAGTAAAGTCATTGTATTTCTCAGTACAATGGAACAAGTCCATTATAATTCATTCACATCTAATTCGACACTATAGTGTCAGACTCGAGTGACTGGCATGGGACATTATGACCAGAGTAAAGTCTTTTAAAATACATTTCTGTTGTTTCATGAGCTGCCCAGTCAATATTCTGACAAACACAGAGCAGGTCCCAGGTAAACAGAAATGTCCACAGGCATCAGATAAGGAGCAGCAGTCAGACGATGTGGGCTCCATTCAGTTATCATGCAGGATAATATACTGCGGAGATAAGAGTGTTTCTCTGTGTGTTTGCTGCGGGGTTGTTCCACCTCAAAAAGCACAAGAAAGAGGATTTCGACACCCACCATCTCAGATTGTTCTGAAATTGTGTCTGTTGCTCGAAACAGATAAGATTAGCATTCTTGCAACATTAGTTTGAAATATAATTTAATCTCTGAGAAATTAAGCTAATTGATTGCACCCAAATTGTCCATTTTAATTTATAGGATTCATATAATATTGAATAAATATAGTACCTAACATCCGGTTTGGACCAAACATTTTTCTAATAATGAGTTAAACATGAGGAATCCAAAGAAATTGTCAAAAGCCACCCATGGACCCCCCACACCCCATGTCAATTCCACCCCTATTACCAAAATCTCCCCTCAGCTTTGTGTGGGAGCGTTTTACATTCATTTTGTCGTTGTTCCACTGAGTCTAGCTGGAAACGATGAAGCACAGCTACAAACAGAGTGCTGATAGAGTCAATGGTACATCCAGAGTAAGACTGACAGAGGTATGTGTACGTGTGTGTTGTATTCTCTGTACTATGCAGTTGTGTTCAGACAGGTTAAGTTTCAGTCTGGGTCCTCAAACAACCTCTGTCTGCCCAGGGACTGCCAGGGATCAGCCACTGTGGCGCCACACAAGGCCATGAGCCCAGAACAGCTCAGTAAATCCCTACCTGAGTTTCTAACAAAAATTACCTTATCTTTATGCTGTAATGCAAAATGCAATTTAGACAACTTACTGTACAATATGTATTCCCCTCTCTCCAATCCAACTAATACAAGAGTGTAAGACTATGGACTCCAAAGGCCACAATTTGTGCTGTGTTTATTTGTTATTGATAAGCACTCTAAACACTTACTCCCAGCATAATCTGTAAAACCTAAAATACTGCAACACAATACAATGTGCAACACTCAAGGACTGTAGATAAAACTGACTTTTGTTATGTCAGATGATAGTGTAGCGGGCAGGGATATTCAACTCTTACCCTAGGAGGTCTGGAGCCTGCTGTTTTTCTGTTCTACCTGATAATGAATCGCACACACCTGGTGTTCCAGGTCTAATTCAGTCCCTGACTAGAGGGGAACAATGAAAAAATGCAGTGGCACTGACTTGGAGGTCCCTGTACTTTATTGTACAGGGCACTGTACAATAAAGCAATCACACAATTTCATCCAATGTGTACCAACTGTTAATTACATAAAATATCTGTAAATGTGCCATTCTTAGTGTAGCCTGTAAAACACATATATCCCCATAAATCATTTTAGGTAGGCCTATACATTATTAATGTAAAGTGAAACCATAAAATCTTCATCAAAGTCAACTGTGCATGTGTCGTGTGTGCAAGCCGCTAAATGGAAAGCTATGTCTTTAAGAGTTGAGTGAAAGGCGGAGTCAGAGTATATTCTTGTAGCGTTGTGGAGCTTAAAAGAACATCACTCACAACAATAGTATTTATTGAGAAGTCTCCCAGAACAGAAAGAATAGTTACAGTGCCAAATGCGCTGTCGTTTTCTGCTCAGTACCATAGCAGACTGAAGCTTGTAAATTGGGCTACACTAACGTCTACAGCAAAACACTGGAGCTAGAACTGTCGCCAAAAGAGGATTCTAAACGTTTCTAAGTAACAGCTGAGGGAAAACTGCGAGGTTGTAAGGTGAGCTCTAAAAACATATTGGATTACCGTGACGTGTATTTCTTTGTGTGTGTGTGTGTGTGTGTGTGTGTGTGTGTGTGTGTGTGTGTGTGTTGATGACGGCAGCAGTGATTGATGCAATCTCTTATTTCTCAGCCGGTACATTGTATCATACATTGACATTGTATCCCAGCGTTATAATATATTTATTATACTGTTATGCCTTTTCATACTAATACAATACTATACAATATGTTAAACAATAAGCTACTCAAAGTTGGAACAACTTGTTCTCCTTGTATAGCTAAAATTACATACTGGAATTAAAAGTGTAGGACGCATGTAAATGTAAATAAAATACTGATATATAACTATTGTTTTGGGGTGAAAAATTGATAGTTACATATCGGTATTCATTTTGACGATATTACTATTCTTTTTGCACTAGTCAGCTGTACCTGCACCAAAACTCCAGTATTTATTGCTTCTATAGCTTGCTCTCCATCTTCTTTTAAAATGGTAAGCCAATATGTTTTCAGCACTTTTATTTCCGTGAGTGATCAAAACTCGTTTTCTCATGGCTCGCTCATGTCCCTCTGCAGCAGACATATAGTGAGCTATATGTTTGGAACATCGAATCGCAATAAAATCACAGTATGGAATAGCATTCATACAGAATCGCGAAACCTATAGAATCGCTATACATATCGTATCGGCAACTAAGTATCATGATAATATTGTATCGTGAGGTCGCTGGCAATCTCCAGCCGTACTGATGATATCAAGAAATGATGGATCCTTATTTCATCAGTTACTTGAGATTGGAAAAAAACGTATATTATGGAGTGAGCCACCTTCTTGCTCTAGCAATCAATCCTGTAAAGCAAGGGGGTGCGTACACTGTTTGCTTGCAGCACAGGTAGAGCGGGTATGGTTGCTCAGAAACCGCTGCAGGGATGTCATAAGTGGGGTGTGAACCTCTTCCTTCTATGTTTTTCTGTGCCTAATGTCATGGTCTATAGTAAGGTTACGTCTGAAATGTCACCATATAGGGCTCTGGCCAAAAGTAGTGCACTGTAGGGAAAATGTGTAATTATCAGATGTGCACAAAGTGCTCATGTTGGTGTGTAGCATACATGGTGTGTAAAACCATACCTCTTGGCTTGGAGTGACTGTGCTTAGCTCTACTAGGCCTGTGTCTTAATATTTTGATAGTAGGCTATGGATGTCAAATAGAGATGGTCAGATGGTGATCATCACCACAAGTGTGTTTACCAAACCTCTTGTCTTCCCACACAACAAAATATCCTCGGCTCTTTGAAATAATTTGACTGCAATGTTCCCATTCATTATTTCTCCATGACTACCCCATTTGTTTAAACCTGGTGTTGCCTCTAAATACACTACTCAACTGTGATCAAACGCACATCCTTAAGTGCAGGGCCGAAAAAAGTAGGTATAAAAGAAATGGAGCCCGCACAATCGTAAGCTCCACCACGTACCTTTATTCACAAACAAACAACGTTGAAGTGACCTGACGAAGATCCTTGCAGGATCTAAATATTTGTTTGTGAATAAAGGTACATGGTGAAGCTTATTAGTGTGCGGGCTCTATTTATTTTATGCCTCTAAATACACTCAATGTAAACTATGGTTACCACTGCCAGGATGAACTGTTTTTGCACCTGTTGCCAGAGGAAGTGGGAGCCTCTCAGGGTTCATTATCAAGGATCAAGTTGCTTACCATCCCCTCCGAACTGAATCCAGGGCCCTGGGCAAGGGATGGGAGGGATGCCATGTTGGGCAATTTGGCCTGAGCAGACGTCCTGGGCATGCTGTTGTTCCAGAGCTTTCTTTCTGAATGACCAGCTGTCTGGGCAGCACATCAATCTGTCCATTCTCTAGAACTGCTGGAGTCTTAAAAGACCATCAATGTGTTTTCACTTCTTGATGATGGATGGTTGACGATAGATGCATATTGTTCTGGCCATGAATTTGTTGTTCATACAAACCAGAACTATTCCTCCACATGATCAGCTGTAAATGGCAAAGACTTCTGTGAAGTTATGGTCTCCATCAGTTGAGTAGAGATGACCCTTAGACCCCCAGGTTAGGTCTAGCCTACATGTTGCCACTCTACCCAAAGGAAGTCAGCGGCTGTTGTGTGATGCACTCATTCCCGTCTTTTTCTGGCCACAGGTTCCTAATTAAAGGTCATGTCACCAGAATACGTTTATGGGCCATATGTAGGGCAGCCCAGCCCCCGTGGTGACTCTTATCAACACTATGCAGGTTTTATTGTCTTCTCAGGAATTCAGCATTCTCTGTGTTGATCTTGCCAACCCCCATTGTCACACCTCTGAGAAGCAGAGGTTCTGTTGTGATTACATCATGTAGGTCTGATATCTGATTGGAGGTTAACTTTACAGTAATACTATTGGTCAACAACTCAGATTTTGAATCCAAACAACTCCGATGCTTATAAAAGGGTATTAGATTAATTGTTCTTCCTCTTATGTTCCTGACTTGCTGTGGTGAGATACCTACACTCTTTATCTCTTCCTCTCTCATGAGCTATGGGCCATGGCACAAGCCATGGTTTCTTTCTTTCTCTCTCTCTCTCTCTGACCATGCTCCCTCTCTAACCATGCTTAGAATAAGTAAGAGATAAACGCCAATGTTCTATACATTACCTTGGAAATAATGGACAACGCAGCGGGATGAGACGGAGCCTCGTTTATCCCCCTTATACCACCGTTGCCAAAGAAAACAATATTAAAGCACACGTTTACCAGTATAAATACTTTTGTTTTGTTTATATTTTTATAAGCAAATTCATACTTTCTCATCTTTTGGTTGCAGTCGTTCGTTCGATATTTATGGACCCGACCAAGTCGTTGTTCTTTATGTTCCGTTGCCATGCTCAGTGGCAACGTGCTTATTCCTAGCTTGCTGCTAGCTAATCAACTAGCTACGGCTGCACAGTCACAACCTCTGCGGCCAGAATAACTGCAAAGTTTATTCCGTTGCGTTTGTTTAAGCTGTTTATCCCGCTTATACCACAGTTGCCAAAGAAAACAATACTATAAGCACACATTTACCGGTAGAAATAAAACATTTTCATTTATATAAGCAAATTCATACTTTATCATCTTTTGGTTGCCAGTCGTTCATTTGATTTAGTGTGATATTTATGGACGCGACCCAGTCATTCGTTCTTTATGTTCCGTTGCCATGCTCGCTGGCAATGTTCTTATCCCTTGCTTGCTAGCTAGCTACGGCTAACACAGTCACGACCTCTGCAGCCAGAATAACAGCAAAGTAGCTGTTTTCTATTGACATTCATTCGGATACATCCATAACAATGAGCAGATAATGCCAGATTTTGCCTGGCATAGCTAGAAAAGTTTGCCTTCTCGTCAGGTCACTCGACACTGTTCATTATGAGGAGATCACATTGCATATCAAACACTAGGCTAGAAGCTAGCTAAATAGTTTGTTGCTAGCAAACCTACCAATATGACAAGCAAATTAAAAAATATCAGTTGCTGAAACCGCTGGTCAAACTAGAAACGTGGGAGTATTTGACAGCATAGCACCACTTGCGTCATGACTGCAACAGTAGGGACCAGAGAAATTCATGTTTACCACATTAGGTCACCAGATGCTTCAAAAATGTCTCTACAAAAACAAATCAATACTAGCTAGCTAGCTACGTTTTCTCCTCGTTGGACCTGCGTTTACAATGTATCCAATTTCAGTTTGTGTTGTTGGTTTAGCTTTCTGTAACTTTGTAGCAAGTACAGTCTGCATGTGTAGGCGCTTATTGCGTCATGATTGCATGGTGTCCCGATATCTTTCCCAGCTGTCCCGTTATCTGGTTTTAATGTCCATTCTAGAATGCCCTTCTAACCAATCAGAAACGAGTATTCAACAATGCTGTGGTATAATGCCTTATAATGTTTGTTAATGGTTTATAACTTAAGCTTTATGGCTTGTATGTGAATCCATTCATTTTGCAATGTAAATACACTTGTATTTAGAATTCCATTCTCAGACATTCATTGCCTATTACTGTAACTCAACCATAGTCACTTGCAATTGCTAATTACCTTAATGGGGTCAGATAAACATTTTAATAGGAAAATTGCTTAATCTTATTACAAGTCACGTGTGAGGTATATACAATGTATAATATCCTACATATCAAATATTACTGCCCACTACACAGACATAAAACATCAAGGTGTCGTGAAGGCATGACAGTTACTGGCCATTATTAGTCTGACCTGGGATGAACGTTCTCCTGAAGACTGAATACATTGGAACATTAGTTAATAATGTGCTGGTGTTATTTGTTTACACTTTGTTCCGCAGATATGAATTGATTTCCTCCCTCTGAACCTTGCTTGCATTGTTTACTCCGCCCTGACACACATTTCACATGACTCGAACATCCAGGTCATCTGACATGGGGAGTGCTTGCAACACCAGGCATATCCCTGGTGACAGGAACAGTACTCTTTAAAATATATATTTTGCAGTAAGAGCTACCGGTCTGCTGGGACTCAATCAACACTCTGCTGTTGTAGAAAGACACTGTCAGGGCTATTGGTTTGGTTAAAAAAAATCAGCCATGAGGTTAGGGGGCCCCTAGATAGCATATTATGGCAAAATGTGTAGAATTGCAGGGAATTAGCTTTAAATGGCAAAACGTTCTATCAGCCTCATGGAAATATGTGAACAATAGCATGAGATGAGCTATACAACAGCAATTTATTTTGCTTTAAAACTGGATTTCCTTTTTTCGGATACTTGGAGAAAGCTTTTAACTAGAGATGTTCTGATATTAAATGCAAAATACAGCAGCAGAGGATACTCGTCATCAGAGGATTGCGTCTCATGTTGGTGGAAATGTGTCAATGAACAAAATAAAGAGCTGATGGACCCCCTTCACTTTCACTCATGTTCCTGCCTCTTGTCTGTGTTACAGGTCCATCAGTAGCAGCCATCCGGGCGAGCCGAGCGTTTCCTGGCTTTGATGCGACCCGATTTGTGCCTGGAGCATGTGCACAGCGGGCCTGACTGCCCAGGAGATCTGTTTACCTGCAGACAGCCCCTTCCTGCGGGCCAGTCACTGTCTCAGCATGGCTGGAGCCAAGCCCTCATGGAGCCACCGCCATGAGCTGGACAAGTAAGTCCACACGTGTGTCCTCAGTTTCAAGAAGAACATGTTTTATTAGTTAATAGATGCCGTAAAGAGGTCAATTGAACTCAACCAAAACATTGGAATTGCCATGGAAACGTGTGGGGGGGAAAGGGTCGTTGGGGAAAGATCCCAAATCTACATTTAGGCTATTGTTTATAAAATAGTGTGAAATACTATGTTGAGGTAAGAATTGGAGTATAATGCTTGTATGGATGTCAACCCCAACACATGTTTATGTCATCGTCACCAATCAACTGCATTACCCTTAAAAACCACTTTGACTAGCACCACTGATTTCTGTATGCTAGCTATGCTAACCAGTTTTACAAACAGGAGTTAGCATTTAGCATTCACTTCTTCTAAACCTGAAAAAGGACAACTTCTAAATGTTATGCTGCGAAACAGGCAAATATATAAAAATCGGACTTATGTAACCACATTGTGGGCTTGTTTACAATACATAAATCATGACGGATTTGACTATTTTCAAATTTGTTCGATCAGATTTGTTGAATGTGCACCAATCTGGTCAATGGAACGGTCTGCGTTCCATTAACCCCTTTACCACATCTATATTTTACTAAGGGTATTCCTGCAGAGATGGTTGGAATTGCTATAACTACATGTACAGTATCTCGGACAATTACTCAACAATGTGCATCATGCCATTTTACAGCTTGTACTTCAGTATGGATCCAGCACCCACGGAATACAACTTTCGATTTCCGCAGCAGGTGCCACCATCGCTCAATTCTGAGAGTAAGTACTGGACCCAGCCACTGTAGATTCTATTTCTATGGTACCACTCACCACTTACACCCACACTCCTTCCTTTTACCCTCTGCCTTATACCCAGCCTTACAAGGAGGGATTTAATACTATGTCTCTGAGCCAACTGGTTGATGTTTACTGGGAGGTTTTCCTGTTTCTGTAAGAATAGAGAGCCAGAATGCTGGCTGCCCAGGACCTGCTCTAAATATATCCTGGGGAATGTTTAACCAACCAATCAATCATACTGTATATTCTATTATGTACATACTTCTCATACTAGTTGTTATTACTATTTTCTTCAACTTTTTATTACTACTTGTTATTTTTTTACTTTTGTATTTGGCATTTGATTCTTGACTGATGTTGTTATTGTACTGCATTGTTGAGGAGCGTTAGCAAGCAAGCATTTCACTGTACCGTATGCATGTGATTAATAAACGTTGATTTGATTTGAACAAAACCATGAGAGGAGAGGTGCTTTGTGCTTTCAAGTAATTAAGGTGTCTCTCTGTTGACCTCCACACTTCCAGGAACCTTTTAACTTCGAGACCCTGCTAGGAGCCTGGCTAAAGTTAATTAGTGGTGCACTATGGTTCTAACTTTCTCTGGTAGTTACCAAATGCCGATATTTAGATTTAATTGGTTTTCTAACCTCTGCAGGACAGAAACATAGCCCTGGTGCACAGTGGTTACCCCCAAAGAAGTCCCGTCCCACACATCTGTCCTTGTCATCCAGCACTGAGCCCTCCACCCCTAGCCCTGCTGAGGATGACCAGGTGGTCCCTTCCTTCCAGAGGTTGTCTGTGTACGAACACTGTAGTCCCCCCCACACACCTAGCCGGGGGGCCAAACCCCTGCCTCCTCTCCCTGGGCGGGCAGACCTTTCCCCTGACCAAGCCATGGACAATGAGGTGGAATTCTTCACCAGTTCAGATGACAGACACTGCTTGGTGCCTGAGCAGTGTCACCCCAAACCCTCTGCCTTTCGCTACGGAGCCCCCAGCCGCAGGAGCTTCAGGGGCTGTGGGCAGATTAACTATGCCTACTTTGAGGGACCTGCGGGGCAGCAGAGACAACAGGAACAGAAGGAGCAGCAGCGACTACAGGAGCAGCAGCGGGTACAGGAACAACAGCGGCAACAGCACGAGCAGCAGGAACAGCAACAGAGGTTGGAGCAGGAGGTGCGGGAGCAGGCAGAGCAGCAGCCAGTGTGTCCCAGACAGCAGGACCGAGCACAGCGGAAGCTGCGGCGCTCTCACTCCGGTCCTGCTGGCTCCTTCAACAAGCCCACATCGCTGCGCCTGTCCTGTCACCACCGCCACACTCAGGGCATGGACAAACCAGAGGTGCCCCCCCGCGTGCCCATCCCCCCACGGCCCATCAAGACTGCCGACTACCGCCGCTGGTCAGCCGAGGTGTCCTCGGGGGCATATAGTGACGAGAACAAGCCCCCCAAGGTGCCCCCCAGGGACCCTTTGTTGTCTCAAGGCAGCTCCCGTACCCCCAGCCCCAAGAGCCTCCCCTCGTACCTTAACGGTGTTATGCCCCCCACACAGAGCTTTGCCCCAGACCCTAAGTACGTGAGCCGGGGCTTACAGAGGCAAAACAGCGAGGGGTCTCCCTGCATCCTGCCTGTCATGGAGAACGGCAGGAAGGCCAGCACCACACACTACTTCCTGCTCCCACAGCGGCCTACCAACCTGGACAAACCTTACCCGGAGAAGTTCCTCCGTGATATGGACTGCCCGGCAGGTCGCAGTAGAGGGGCTTCAGACCCAGAGTGGGATTGTCAGACTAAGAGGAAGGTACAGGTGGATATAGTTTGACCTGGAGGAGACAATTTAGGGAAGGACTCCAGTGGACACGAGCAATCAACCACTGGGGATACTGAAGCCTTCAAACACTTACTGCTGCTTTAACACTGACGACGTTGGTAGTTTTTACCTCGGTATTCTAAAAACATAGGGTATTTGACATACCATTTACAGTTACTGGGACTTTAGGAACTGCAACCACAACAAAGATGCATGATCTAAATGTTGTCTCTCTAACTATTGAGTGTGTGGGTAATATTTAACAATTTAGAGATTTCTTTTTTATATGATGTATTATTTTTGTACATTGAGTATATGTAAATGTTTTGCTGATACAGTGGTGCAGTTTTAGCGTATAAGCTGGACTTGTGCCTCAAGTTCTCAGTGGTGTGTGTGTGTGTGTGTGTGTGTGTGTGTGTGTGTGTGTCACAGGTATAGGATGTTTTGTGAGGTGTATGTTGTGTTTTTGATATTGCTTATGTGTCTCAGAACTTGGGGACAAAGGGTCAGTAAAGCAATCATTATCTCGTATTGCATATATGATGTCTAAAGAAGAGGCCAATGTATTTAAACACTTTATGAAGGATTCTCCACCCACATCCCCACTAACTCATATTATATATAAGCATGAATATAGGAATGCACATATGTTTCCTGCCTTGTTGATATTTCAGTCTTACTCAGGCCACTATGTTTATGGATGGAAGTGTATTTATGTGTTTCCCTCACTGGACGTACACTCTGTACCAGTGGGGGGAGTGGAATATTGGTATGCATATCTCCAGTGGAATGTCTAGTGCAGTTTGTACTTTGTGTTAGGCGTGTGCGCGTGGTGCAACTGTGTTCGTGTTTTCCCTGCTGAGTTTGTGTGACTTTTCTACCATATTGTAGAAAATTAGGTTAACAATATTTGTTACTGTTCTCTGCCTGTTTTCAGCACTGCTTCCAAGTACACGGTCGCAAAGTGTATCCTCCCTAACCCTTATACTACTTTCTTTCAGTGTCCAGGTCATTTTGTGCTGCACAAAAATGTGCCTGTTGAACATATGTGAATGTATGATTTTCTTACTGAATTGTATCAAACTGTTTGGGCAGCTCAGTACTTGGTCAAGCTGTGAGTCATTGTCTGGAACTAACTGCCTTCAATACTACCTCCCATGAGAATACAAATTAATACATACCCCAAAACCTTGTGGACCGTAATCCTAAAATAATTATAATTGAAACATCTAAATTAATACCGAAACATTGCCAAATATTTCTCAAAAGCCCTCAGTGAAAATATGAAGTGTATGAAAATCCAAACCACTACTTCACTGAGTCCATTTACCTTATTTCAGAATTATAAACAGAATGGTCAGACCTTTTAATTTGACATTATTTCAACTACAACAAGTGATTGTGGATCCCAGAGACATTGGGCTCACCTGATAACATAGACGAATTACGCTTGACTGCGTGGGGCTTACCTACCTGAAACAGACTTTCCTGTTCTGCTAATGCATTCCTGCCTGACATGATTGCAGTGGGTGTGGTCCAGAGGCTGCTGGCGGCCAGGAAACGATATGGATTTTATTGTAATAGATTATTCAAGAACCATAATGATGACATAGTAAATGTTGCAAGTGCATCGAAGTAACCCTGGATATAAAACATGGTAGTCAAATTGGATATCAGATTAGCTCTACAGTCAAATTGTCACTTAAGTATATTTTCCCACTCAAAGGCAAAGGGAAAACAAACCTAGTAGAGGCCATGTCGTTTTTATATTTAATGTATAATAAATTGTTTACATTGTCACTGATATGTTATTTAATCTTAACCTATTCCCATGTCTTATCGGAAACAATGAAATCAAATGAAGACTAGTTCATCGAGAATAGTTGCCATTATCTGCTGTGGTGAAACAAATGCTCTGGGAGTAAAGAATAGTATGCTGTGTTTATTTAACATAATTACACTTGTCATTATGAATATTTGATCAATGTATCAGTCTTTTTTAAAGGGAAAAATAAAATGACTTAAAGTCGGAAGTTTACATACACCTTAGCCAAATACATTTAAACTCAGTTTTTTACAATTCCTGACATTTAATCCTAGTAAAAAATCCCTGTTTTAGGTCAGTTAGGATCACCACTTTATTTTAAGAATGTGAAATGTCAGAATAATAGTAGAGAGAATGATTTATTTCAGCTTTTATTTCTTTCATCACATTCCCAGTGGGTCAGACATTTACATACACTCAATTAGTATTTGGTAGCATTGCCTTTAAATTGTTTAACTTGGGTCAAACGTTTCGGAGCCTTCCACAAGCTTCCCACAATAAGTTGGGTGAATTTTGGCCCACTCCTCCTGACAGAGCTTGTGTAACTGAGTCAGGTTTGTAGGCCTCCTTGCTCACACACGCTTTTTCAGTTCTGCCCACAAGTTTTCTATAGGATTGAGGTCAGGGCTTTGTGATGGCCGCTCCAATACCTTGACTTTGTTGTCCTTAAGCTATTTTGCCACAACTTTGGAAGCATGCTTGGGGTCATTGTCCATTTGGAAGACCCATTTGCGACCAAGCTTTAACTTCCTGACTGATGTCTTGAGATGTTGCTTCAATATATCCACATAATTTTGCCATCTATTTTGTGAAGTGCACCAGTCCCTCCTGCCACCCCCGTGCTTCACGGTTGGGATGGTGTTCTTCGGCTTGCAAGCATCCCCCTTTTTCCTCCAAACATAATGATGGTCATTATGGCCAAACAGTTATATTTTTGTTTCATCAGACCAGAGGACATTTCTCCAAAAAGTACGATCTTTGTCCCCATGTGCAAACCGTAGTCTGGCTTTTTTATGGCGGTTTTGGAGCAGTGGCTTCTTCCTTGCTGAGCGGCCTTTCAGGTTATGTCGATATAGGACTCGTTTTACTATGGATATACAGTGGGGGAAAAAAGTATTTAGTCAGCCACCAATTGTGAAAGTTCTCCCACTTAAAAAGATGAGAGAGGCCTGTAATTTTCATCATAGGTAACTATGACAGACAAATTGAGAATTTTTTTTTTCTCCAGAAAATCACATTGTAGATTGATTTTTAATGAATTTATTTGCAAATTATGGTGGAAAATAAGTATTTGGTCACCTACAAACAAGCAAGATTTCTGGCTCTCACAGACCTGTAACTTCTTCTTTAAGAGGCTCCTCTGTCCTCCACTCGTTACCTGTATTAATGGCACCTGTTTGAACTTGTTATCAGTATAAAAGACACCTGTCCACAACCTCAAACAGTCACACTCCAAACTCCACTATGGCCAAGACCAAAGAGCTGTCAAAGGACACCAGAAACAAAATTGTAGACCTGCACCAGGCTGGGAAGACTGAATCTGCAATAGGTAAGCAGCTTGGTTTGAAGAAATCAACTGTGGGAGCAATTATTAGGAAATGGAAGACATACAAGACCACTGATAATCTCCCTCGATCTGGGGCTCCACGCAAGATCTCACCCCGTGGGGTCAAAATGATCACAAGAACGGTGAGCAAAAATCCCAGAACCACACGGGGGGACCTAGTGAATGACCTGCAGAGAGCTGGGACCAAAGTAACAAAGCCTACCATCAGTAACACACTACGCCGCCAGGGACTCAAATCCTGCAGTGCCAGACGTGTCCCCCTGCTTAAGCCAGTACATGTCCAGGCCCGTCTGAAGTTTGCTAGAGTGCATTTGGATGATCCAGAAGAGGATTGGGAGAATGTCATATAGTCAGATGAAACCAAAATAGAACTTTTTGGTAAAAACTCAACTCGTCGTGTTTGGAGGACAAAGAATGCTGAGTTGCATCCAAAGAACACCATACCTACTGTGAAGCATGGGGGTGGAAACATCATGCTTTGGGGCTTTTTTTCTGCAAAGGGACCAGGACGACTGATCCGTGTAAAGGAAAGCATGAATGGGGCCATGTATCGTGAGATTTTGAGTGAAAACCTCCTTCCATCAGCAAGGGCATTGAAGATGAAATGTGGCTGGGTCTTTCAGCATGACAATGATCCCAAACACACCGCCTGGGCAACGAAGGAGTGGCTTCGTAAGAAGCATTTCAAGGTCCTGGAGTGGCCTAGCCAGTCTCCAGATCTCAACCCCATAGAAAATCTTTGGAGGGAGTTGAAAGTCTGTGTTGCCCAGCGACAGCCCCAAAACATCACTGCTCTAGAGGAGATCTGCATGGAGGAATGGGCCAAAATACCAGCAACAGTGTGTGAAAACCTTGTGAAGACTTACAGAAAACGTTTGACCTGTGTCATTGCCAACAAAGGGTATATAACAAAGTATTGAGAAACTTTTGTTATTGACCAAATACTTATTTTCCACCATAATTTGCAAATAAATTCATTAAAAATCTTAGAATGTGATTTTCTGGATTTTTTTATGATGAAAATTACAGGCCTCTCTCATCTTTTTAAGTGGGAGAACTTGCACAATTGGTGGCTGACTAAATACTTTTTTTCCCCACTGTAGATACTTTTGTACCAGTTTCCTCCAGCATCTTCACAAGGTCCTTTGCTGTTGTTCTGGGATTGATTTTCATTTTTCGCACCAAAGTACGTTCATCTCTAGGAGACAGAACGCATCTCCTTTCTGAGCGGTATGACAGCTACGTGGTCCCATGGTGTTTATACTTGCGTACTATTGTTTGTACAGATGAAAGTGGTACCTTCAGGCATTTGGAAATTGCTCCCAAGGATGAACCAGACTTGTGGAGGTCTACAATTCTTTTTCTGAGGTCTTGGCTGATTTCTTTTGATTTCCCCATGATGTCAAGCAAAGAGGCACTGAGTTTGAAGGTAGGCCTTGAAATACATCCACAGGTACACCTCTAATTGACTCAAATGATGACAATTAGCTTATCAGAAGCTTCTAAAGCCATGACATCACTTTCTGGAATTTTCCAAGCTGTTTAAAGGCACGGTCAACTTAGTGTATGTAAGCTTCTGACCCACTGGAATTGTGATACAGTGAATTATAAGTGAAATAATCTGTCTGTAAACAATTCTTGGAAAAATTACTAGAAATTACTAAAAAGGTAGATGTCCTAACCGACATGCCAAAACTATAGTTTGTTAACAAGAAATTTGTGGAGTGGTTGAAAAACGAGTTTTAATGACTCCAACCTAAGTGTATGTAAACTTCCGACTTCAACTGTATTTATAAATCTGCCTTTGTTCTGTATTCTGTGTTTGTTGCATGTGTTGAATGGTGTGAGATGAACTCTGATTCAGCTGTTTGGCCTGTTTTATCACCCCCCCCCCACACACCCTCATGCAGCGCCTCATTACAGCTGGCTGCAGTCCAAACACACAGCAGAGTGACTTATTCAGACAGACAGGTATACATTACGTTCCCCTTCCTGGTTGTAAGTATGACTCTCCCCCCTGGCTACTTGTTGAGCAACTCAAAGAGGCCAGGTAAGCTGGTTCTTCACTGCTTCATGTTGTCCTGTTTAACTGTGTCCATAGCTTGAATGATGACTGGAAAAGTTATCTTCTTATTTGAAAATATTTGTCAGTGCAGTCACTCAGTTATACTATAGGACAGCTATGCACACAGAGCAGGACTGAAATCATTAGCCAAATCCAATATAGGGTGTGGTCACCTGCTCAACATTATTCTTATATACACTACATTCCTTATTGTCTCTGGAAAGGGCAGCTCATAAATTACCATTCATTTTTGCTGTTAGCATTTAGTATTCTGGTCTATTGACAGTGATTGTGCTGTGTCATCTGAGAGGAACAAAAGGCAGCAGTGTGATCTAGGCCACCTGCCAGCTCTTTCACCTGGCTCTCGCTCAGGTGAGCTGCTAGGCGACAGCATGGACGGTGGCCATGGCAACAGACTGTGACAAGGGCTATCTATTTAAATGGTGGTCCCAAATGGGGACAGTAAAGAGCAACTACACAAAATCAAGACCAAACAAACAGAGCAATAATGAATCTGGTCTATGCGACGCATTTGTGAATTCATGCAAGAAAAACTTGCGTGCTTACATTAACCACAAGACACATCACACAAACAGAAACATGACAGGAACATGCACACAGGGGGTGCACATTTCACTGTTCATTTTTTTTTAACCATGTTTCACCTCAAGGCTGACAAAGTGTGAGATTTACCCAATGGAACAATCTCCCACTTTTTATGGCTGCTATTATTATCCTCATTATGGGTATTGCCTCTTAATTATTATATAACCTTTGCTGTTTCGCCTGCAGATGTCTGTGACAAATATTGCAGTGTGCTTGCAATGTCTAGATGTCCTCTAACACAAGTCTGCAGCAAGATCAGAAATGTCTGGATATAGTCTGTGGTAGAGACAACATATGGCTGTTTTCTATCGATGAGAGGGAGCGGTCAAATAAAACATAATTGATTTTAAAAGAATCCATCGAATGTTGTAGTGTTTTAGATACAAAAATCTTAATGTTTGAAGCATAGGCTTTTATCTATGTCTGTACAAAACTGAAACAACATGATCAAAGGAATAAACAGGATTCAAAAGCTTGAATGATGCCTCAGATTGGATACAGTATAGGAGCCCAGAGAATGCATCACATTGGCAGTGCTGGCACAGATGGCACAAAATGCTACCTGTCCCTCTACTTCAATACTCTGTTGGCTATCAGCAGTAATGCCCAGAGTGAATTAAAGCAACAGCTCTTTGAACATTGGCAATAATGCAAAATGTCATGCTACTGAACATTGCATGATGTGAACTGAACCTGTTGCATGACATTATTGCGAACATGTTCAAAGAGAAACTGTTTTTATTTGTGTTCTTTGTCATACTGTTATTGTATTCCTCATGCTCTTACCTAACTTTCTGAAAGCACATGCAGTTGTCATTAGAAAAAAGGATGTGTGCTCCCCCTAGCGCACATAGGTTGTAATTGCCACATGATATTAGATAAATATGAAAATATTACATTCCATTTAAAGATGTGAAGAATGGAAGAAAAGGATGCAGATGATCCTCTCACCGTTTATTTAAAAATATATGTGAACCCAAAGCCCAGAAGTTACATTTTGCACTTAGTCAACAGATGTAACATACACATTTAACAATCATACAGGGTAGTCTTTAATGCCAGGAAATTGTTAATCTAGATCTCATTCTATTTATCTATCAAGTCCTAAAATGACAGTAGTGTGAAGCCTTATGCTTCTGAATTCCACTAAAATAGCTGCAGTACAAAAACAATTTGATTCACAATGATTATGCATATTATAAAATAATGATTATTTATGGTAACTGAGCAAACATTTTAGGCAGCTCGAATACTTTATTCAGTGTTATTTTGAAGAAAATATATTATTGTTGGCCGTTGTGTCTTCACCTGAGAACATTTTGGGAAATCATACCAATTAAAATGTAAACATTAGTATTCATTAAAATAGAGAATCATAAACAGCTGGTGCTCTTAATAGACTGTGAAAAGTAATGACATGTAAATACTTGTTATTGTAGCATATAGAGAGGTGTGTCTGTTAGTGTAGATACTATGTTTTAAATTCACTGCCACTCTTATTACTACATGTCATTTATAATTAATAGCAAAGATTGTAAGATCTGACAAATATAAAAGACATGAAACAACAGAACTTACAGTATAACATCTGTTAATGTACTCACATTTTATGTTGTGTCAAGATGTGGCCTGAATACTCCTGGGCTGCCTTTGTCAGCTAAATCAGTGTTTGTGTAGACTGGTGAACTGCCATGGTATGGACCAAGGTCTAAAATCAAAATGACAACAAATTAGTGTTGGGAATATATTATAGAAAGTATAATATTCTGGTTGTCAGTCATTGGGACATAGAGGCATAGATGAGCATACCTCTTTGTGTGAAGTCAAAAAAGTCCTCATTGAGAAACATCAGTCTTCTGGCAGGTGGCTTGTCACTGTTCCTGAGTTATAAAAACAACATTGTTTAAACCATAGGAACATAATTTTTACACAGATTGTGCATCATTTACTTCAAATCAAGCAATCATTTGCATGGCATACAAGAATATGCCTGTATTGTGTTATGATACCCACCAAAGTTCCCCATGGTTCCTTCGCAGGACCACGATAACCACGATGAGAACAAGTATGAGGAGGATGCCTGCCCCCAGTGCACCAAAGAGTGCAGCATAGAAACCTCTTCCCCTGCGGAAGAGCTCACACTGGGGTCCATGATACTGCTCCAGGGAAGACTCATAGCACCTGTGTAAAACAGTGAGGGGGTTATGATGCATACCGCTTCAACCATTTATGTTTCAACATTTAATTTGGTTACCTTTAATTAACTGAAATTACTTTGTAACGTTGTGTAACACAACTGAACATGTACCAAAATCCCAGCACTACATACAGTACATATCAGATTGAATAAATTCTGAAAACAAATAGGGTCTTACTGACAAATAGGTCCACTTTGAACATTAAAGCATTCTCCGTGTCTATGACAGTAGTCTGGGTACTGTTTACAAGGCCCTACACACTTCCAGCTGCCATCAGAGAGCTCTTCTGTGTAGTTTGCAAAACTCAGACGACAGGTCACAAATGGCCTCAAATCTGTGATATCTGATTAGAAAACAATTCCCCATCAAAATTACCCTCATATCTCTACTAAGAAATTCAATAAAAGTTTGATTTTACAAGCAATTTCAAACAAAATAAAAGTATATATAATGCACAAATACAAAAAAACATTATGCACGATATATGTTTTTAATTGCCACACATTACTCACTCCGTATTTCCGTCGGTTGGAAGGTAATGTTGGTAACCTGGATTCCCACATTTTCAAAGGCTTGACTGATGTTCATTAGGTTATCTGTGTTGTTCAAGATATTCCTAAGTGTGGGTTCCAGTTCATTGTTAAGGAAATACATTTGGGATGCATTGTTGGGATAGGTGTATTCCGCTATGCTCTCTGCAACAATACTTCCAGGTCTAGAAGAATAGACATAAAACACATTTCAAGAGTTGATTCATATAATAGGAATTTGATTTGCAGTATTTAAGTGTATTTTATTAGTTTTTGTGAAATTAAGCTTTTTTAGATGTACGAGTTTTGAAAATATAATAACCTACTTTAGATTAATGACTTTTACATCTTTAAAATTGTGTGGATCTGCTCTCCTGCAGAGAGCACTAAGCTGAAAAACAGAAAGAAAAAAGATAAATTTTATATATTTCACTTTGATCCTGTCAAAATGGTATATCAGGTAGCCATTTTAGGCCTATGTGTTATTGTAACTACTTTTTTATTCAGTAACAAATTATACCTTATTGCATTAGTATTAAATTGTTCAAATATATTACTGTACCATTATGCATTTATGAATAATGTTTTTACAAAATCACACAACATTAAAAAACATATGGCATACCTCCTTAATCAAAGTTTTGATTAATATTTGTGACTTGGTGGAGTTCATATTTTCATACTCAGGCTCAAATTCCCTCATAATACTCAAAGAGACATTTGCCTTTCTGGTTGGTACTGCCCTCACATCTGCAAAGAAATGCAAGCCTATGTAAATACAAATAATCCTATTTTGTTATTAGTAAATTCAGGGCTGTGAATAAGGGCTTGATTCAATCCGTATCGCCAAGTTCAGCGTTATAGGGCGATTAAAATTGAAAGACAATGTTCCGTCCCGCTTTTGCAAAGTCTGCATTCATGGTAAATGCTTGCCTGACAACTCCCCCTGAATTGAATTCCGCTGCTCTATCGATCGCTACATACATTCAGTCTGAAACTGCCATCCTAGAAGTAATTTGTGTGACTTCAAAATGAGGGACGTACAAAACAAATTAATCTAACAAATCTAACTAGTCAGAGTATCAAAGTTGATAACGTCATCTTGGAGAAGAAACGTCAGTTGGCCGGAGTGATGTGGATGGGTAGCAAGGCAAAGTAAATGTAAATCGGAAATTACTTTTACATTTCAAGCTCGCTATAGTGCTGAACTTCGGCAGTACGGATTGAATTGAGCCCTAAGTTTAATGGGTCTACCATGGGTGCAAAAGGTCTCATCCTTTTATATCAAGTTAAAACCACACATGTATGGGTTCATGATAGCATCAATCATCATTCATGATTTAATGCAGAGGTGACATTCAGCTTTACTTGATAAACAACATTGACCAATATATTTTTTACTGGTAAGATAGACACTTTAGTAAGGAATTATAATGAAAAGGATAACTCACCCAAGGAAACTGTGGTGACATTACTTCCAAAAATACACAAATCTCCAAAGGTGAAGTCAAAGCAATGGCATTGACATTTGCCAAGAGTGTCATTGAAAAAACAGGGAGCACCATTACACTGACAGTCCTCTTCATTACACTGATGAGTTGTAGCTATTGTTGCGAATGATGTAAGGATAACATTTGAGGTTGAACTGTGGGCTGACGTTGACTGACTGTCTCCCTGTGAATGCACAATTGTGGTCATCGTCTCGCTTTGAGATGACGGTCTCCTTTCTGTGGTCGACCCTGGAATCATTGTCATAGGTGTGGTAAATCCAGATGAGGAAGTGATCTCTATAGGGGAAGTGGAAAATTCTGATTCACTTGTCTTTTTCGAGTGTGTAGTTGTGAATGGTGTGGAAAGACCATTTTCAGTGGTTGCCTGACTGGAAGAAATGTTAACAATGGTTTGTGACATACCTGATGTGGTTAAAATGTTGGTGGTTGGACTGGTGTATTCAGCTGTATGAGACTCCATTGAGGTAGGGATTGATGTGCTTTGAGTTTGAGTTACAGTTATGTCTTCTCTTGTAATAACAGGTGAGGATGTTATGTCTGTAGTGGAGGGGGACGTCAATGATTGAGTTATCTTTGGGGAGTTTGTAGTTGTGAATGGTGTGGGAATATTATCTTCTGCGGTTGAGAACACAGTTGTACTTTCCATTGAAAGTTGCCTTGTACTTGTAGATCCATGTTCTCCAGTAGTCTTCTCAGTTGAAGACATCTCCAAAGTGGATTGTGACATAGCTGATGTTGACAATATGTTGGTGGTTGGACTGGTGTGTTCAGTTGTTTGAGACTGCATTGAGGTAGGGATTGATGTGCTTTGAGATTGAGTTGCGGTTACGTCTTCTCTTGTAATAAGAGGTAGGAATGTTATGTCTGTAGTGGAAGAGGAGGTCACTGATTCCATTGTCTTTCTGGAGTTTGTAGCTGTGAATGATGTGGAAAGATTATCTTCTGCGGTTGAGACCATGGCTGTACTTTCCATTGAAGGTTGGCCTGTACGTGTGGACCCATGTTCATCAGTAGTCGTCTTAGTTGAAGACATTTCCAAAGTGGTTGGACTGGTGTATTCAGTTGTTTGAGTCTCCATTGAGGTAGGGATTGATGTGCTTTGGGTTTGAGTTGCAGTTACGTCTTCTCTTGTAATAACAAGTGAGGATGTTACGTGTGTAGTGGAGGGGGACGTCAATGATTCAGTTGTCTTTGGAGAGTTTGTAGTTGTGAATGGTGTGGAAATATGATATTCTGTGGTTGAGACCACAGCTGTACTTTCCATTGAAGGATGGTTTGTGGAACCATGTTCTTTAGTAGACATCTCAACTGAAGACATCTCCAAAGTGGATTGTGACATACCTGATGTTGACAATATATTGTTGGTTGGACTCGTATGTTCAGTCGTGTGAGACTCCATTGAGGTAGGGATTGATGTGCTTTGGGTTTGAATTGCAGTTATGTCTTCTCTTGTAACAACAGGTTGGAATGTGATGGCTGTGGTGGAGGCGAACGTCACTGATTCAATTGTCTTTGGGGAGTTTGTAGCTGTGAATGATGAGGAAAGATTCTCTTCTGCGGTTGACACTACAGTTGTACTTTTAGTTGAAGGTTGGCTTGTGGAACCATGTTCTTTAGTAGTCATCTCAGTTGAAGAAATCTCCGAAGTGGATTGTGACATGGCTGATGTTGACAATATGTTGGTGGTTGGACTGGTGTATTCAGTTTTTTGAGACTCCATTGAGGTAGGGATTGATGTGCTTTGGGTTTGAGTTGCAGTTACGTCTTCTCTTGTAACAACAGGTTGGAATGTTTTGGCTGTTGTGGAGGTGGACGTCACTGATTCAATTGTCTTTGGGGAGTTTGTAGCTGTGAATGATGTGGAAAGACGCTCTTCTGCGGTTGAGACCACAGTTGTACTTTCCATTGAAGGTTGGCCTATACTTGTGGACCCATGTTCATCAGTAGTCATCTTAGTTGAAGATATTTCCAAAGTGGATTGTGACATACCTAATGTTGCAATATATTGTTGGTTGGACTCGTATGTTCAGTCGTGTGAGACTCCATTGAGGTAGGGATTGATGTGCTTTGGGTTTGAGTTGCAGTTATGTCTTCTCTTGTAACAACAGGTTGGAATGTTATGGCTGTGGTGGAGGTGGACGTCACTGATTCATTGTCTTTGGGGAGTTTGTAGCTGTGAATGATGTGGAAAGACGATCTTCTGCGGTTGAGACCACAGTTGTACTTTCCATTGACGGTTGTCCTATACTTGTGGACCCATGTTCATCAGTAGTCATCTTAGTTGAAGATATTTCCAAAGTGGATCGTGACATACCTAATGTTGGCAATATATTGTTTGTTGGACTCGTATGTTCAGTCGTGTGAGACTCCATGAGGTAGGGATTGATGTGCTTTGGGTTTGAGTTGCAGTTATGTCTTCTCTTGTAACAAAGGTTGGAATGTTTGGCTGTGGTGGAGGCGAAGTCACTGATTCAATTGTCTTTGGGGAGTTTGTTATTTGTGAATGATGAGCGCAAGATTATCTTCTGCGGTTGACACCAACAGTTGTACTTTTAGGTTGAAGGTTGGCTTGTGGAACCCTGTTCTTTAGTAGTCATTCCAATTGAAGGACATCCTCCAAAAGTGGATTGGTAACATAGCTGATTTTGTGACAATATGTTGGTGGTTGGCACTGGTGTATTCCGTTTTTTGAGACTCAATTGAGGTAGGGATTGATGGGCTTTGGGTGTTTGGAGTAGCAGTTATGTCTTCTTTTGTAACAACAGGTTTGGAATGTTTGGCTATTGTGGAGGTGGATGTCACTTGATTCAATTTGTCTTTGGGGAGTTTCCTAGCTGTGAATGATGAGGAACGATTATCTTCTGCGGTTGACACCACAGTTTGTACTCTTATTTTAGGTTGAAGATTGGCTTGTGGAACCATGTTCTTTAGTAGTCATCTCAATTGAAGACATCTCCAAAGTGGATTGTGACATAGCTGATGTTGACAATATGTTGGTGGTTGGACTGGTGTATTCAGTTTTTTGAGACTCCATTGAGGTAGGGATTGATGTGCTTTGGGTTTGAGTAGCAGTTATGTCTTCTTTTGTAACAACAGGTTGGAATGTTTTGGCTGTTGTGGAGGTGGACGTCACTGATTCAATTGTCTTTGGGGAGTTTGTAGCTGTGAATGATGTGGAAAGACGCTCTTCTGCGGTTGAGACCACAGTTGTACTTTCCATTGAAGGTTGGCCTATACTTGTGGACCCATGTTCATCAGTAGTCATCTTAGTTGAAGATATTTCCAAAGTGGATCGTGACATACCTAATGTTGGCAATATATTGTTGGTTGGACTCGTATGTTCAGTCGTGTGAGACTCCATTGAGGTAGGGATTGATGTGCTTTGGGTTTGAGTAGCAGTTATGTCTTCTCTTGTAACAACAGGTTGGAATGTTATGGCTGTGGTGGAGGCGAATGTCACTGATTCAATTGTCTTTGGGGAGTTTGTAGTTGTGAATGATGAGGAAAGATTATCTTCTGCGGTTGACACCACAGTTGTACTTTTAGTTGAAGATTGGCTTGTGGAACCATGTTCTTTAGTAGTCATCTCAATTGAAGACATCTCCAAAGTGGATTGTGACATAGCTGATGTTGACAATATGTTGGTGGTTGGACTGGTGTATTCCGTTTTTTGAGACTCCATTGAGGTAGGGATTGATGTGCTTTGGGTTTGAGTAGCAGTTATGTCTTCTTTTGTAACAACAGGTTGGAATGTTTTGGCTGTTGTGGAGGTGGACGTCACTGATTCAATTGTCTTTGGGGAGTTTGTAGCTGTGAATGATGTGGAAAGACGCTCTTCTGCGGTTGAGACCACAGTTGTACTTTCCTTTGAAGGTTGGCCTATACTTGTGGACCCATGTTCATCAGTAGTCATCTTAGTTGAAGATATTTCCAAAGTGGATTGTGACATACCTAATGTTGGCAATATATTGTTGGTTGGACTCGTATGTTCAGTCGTGTGAGACTCCATTGAGATAGGAATTGATGTGCTTTGGGTTTGAGTTGCAGTTACGTCTTGTCTTGTAATAACAGGTGAGGATGTTATGTGTGTAGTGGAGGGGGACGTCAATGATTCAGTTGTCTTTGGAGAGTTTGTATTTGTGAATGGTTTGGAAATATGATATTCTGTGGTTGAGACAATAGCTGTACTTTCCATTGAAGGATGGCTTGTGGAACCATGTTCTTTAGTAGACATCTCAACTGAAGACATCTCCAAAGTGGATTGTGACATACCTGATGTTGACAATATGTTGGTGGTTGGACTGGTGTATTCAGTTTTTTGAGACTCCATTGAGGTAGGGATTGATGTGCTATGGGTTTGAGTTGCATTTACGTCTTCTCTTGTAACAACAGGTTGGAATGTTTTGGCTGTTGTGGAGGTGGACGTCACTGATTCAGTTGTTTCTGGGGAGTTTGTAGCTGTGAATGATGTGGAAAGACTCTCTTCTGCGGTTGAGACCACAGTTGTACTTTCCATTGACGGTTGTCCTATACTTGTGGACCCATGTTCATCAGTAGTCATCTTAGTTGAAGATATTTCCAAAGTGGATTGTGACATACCTGATGTTGATAATATATTGTTGGTTGGACTCGTATGTTCAGTCGTGTGAGACTCCATTGAGATAGGGATTGATGTGCTTTGGGTTTGAGTTGCAGTTACGTCTTGTCTTGTAATAACAGGTGAGGATGTTATGTGTGTAGTGGAGGGGGACGTCAATGATTCAGTTGTCTTTGGAGAGTTTGTATTTGTGAATGGTTTGGAAATATGATATTCTGTGGTTGAGACAATAGCTGTACTTTCCATTGAAGGATGGCTTGTGGAACCATGTTTCTTTAGTAGACATCTCAACTGAAGACATCTCCAAAGTGGATTGTGACATACCTGATGTTGACAATATGTTGGTGGTTGGGACTGGTGTATTCAGTTTTTTGAGACTCCATTGAGGTAGGGATTGATGTGCTATGGGTTTGAGTTGCATTTACGTCTTCTCTTGTAACAACAGGTTGGAATGTTTTGGCTGTTGTGGAGGTGGACGTCACTGATTCAGTTGTTTCTGGGGAGTTTGTAGCTGTGAATGATGTGGAAAGACTCTCTTCTGCGGTTGAGACCACAGTTGTACTTTCCATTGACGGTTGGCCTATACTTGTGGACCCATGTTCATCAGTAGTCATCTTAGTTGAAGATATTTCCAAAGTGGATTGTGACATACCTGATGTTGATAATATATTGTTGGTTGGACTCGAATGTTCAGTCGTGTGAGACACCATTGAGGTAGGGATTGATGTGCTTTGGGTTTGAGTAGCAGTTATGTCTTCTCTTGTAACAACAGGTTGGAATGTTTTGGCTGTTGTGGAGGTGGACGTCACTGATTCAATTGTCTTTGGGGAGTTTGTAGCTGTGAATGATGTGGAAAGACGCTCTTCTGCGGTTGAGACCACAGTTGTACTTTCCAATGAAGGTTGGCCTATACTTGTGGACCCATGTTCATCAGTAGTCATCTTAGTTGAAGATATTTCCAAAGTGAATTGTGATATAGCTGAGTTTGTATGAGTGAATGATGAGGAAAGATTATCTTCTGCGTTTGACACCACAGTTGTACTTTTAGTTGAAGGTTGGCTTGTCGAACCATGTTCTTTAGCAGACGTCTTTGTTGAAGACATCTCCAAAGTGGATTGTGACACACCTGATGTTGACAATATATTGATGGTTGGACTGATGTGTTTGGTTGTTTGAGACTTGTTTAAGGTAGGGATTGATGTTCTTTGGGTTTCAGTTGCAACTACATCTTGTCTTGTAATAACAGGTTGGGATGTTATGTCTTTAGTGGAGGTGGACGTCACTGATTTCATTATCTTTGTATCATTTGTAATTGTGAACGATGTGGAAAGATTCTCTTCTGTGGTTGAGGACACTATTCTATTTTCCATTGAAATTTGGCTTGTACTTGTGGACCCATGTTCTCCAGTACTCATCTCAGTTGAAGACATTTCCAAAGTGGATTGTGACATACCTGATGTTGACAATATATTGGTGGTTGGACTGATGTGTTCGGTTGTTTGAGACTTTTTTAAGGTAGGGATTGATGTGCCTCCGGTTTGAGTTGCAGTTACGTCTTCTCTTGTAATAACAGGTTGGGATGTTATGTCTGTAGTGGAGGTGGACGTCACTGATTTCATTGTCTTTGTAGCTTTTGTAGTTGTGAATGGTGTGGAAATAATATTTTCTGTGTTTGAGACTACAGATGGACTGTCCATTGATGGTTGGATTGTACTCGTGGACTCATGTTCTTCAGTAGTTATCTCAGTTGAAGACATTTCCAAAGTGGATTGTGATATACCTGTTGTTGACAATATATTAGTGGTTGGACTCGTATGTTCAGTCGTTTGAGACTCCATTGGGTTAGGGATTGATGTGCTTTGTGTTTGAGTTACAGTTACTTCTTGTCTTGTAATAACAGTTGAGGATGTTATGTCTTTAGTGGAGTGGGATGTCCCTGATTCAGTTGTCTTTGGAGAGTTTGTAGTTGTGAATGGTGTGGAAAGATTATCTTCTGTGGTTGATACCACAGTTGTACTTTCTGTTGAAGGTTGGCTTGTGGAACGATGTTCTTTAGTAGTCGTCTGAATTGAAGATATTTTCAAAGTGGATTGTGACATACCTGATGTTGACAATATGTTGGTGGTTGAACTCATGTGTTTAGTTGTATGAAACTCCATTGAGGCAGGGATTGAAGTGCTTTGTGTTGGAATTGCAGTTATGATTTCCTGACCTCTTGTGGAGCCAAGTTCAGTGGTTTTTGAAGTTAAAAATGTTTCCTGGGTGTTCAATGAAACCTTTGATTGTGTCATGTCGCTTGTGAGTGGCCTTGTTGTTGACAAGAGGTTTCCAGCAGATGTGGAGTGTGTGACTTGGACTGTCCTTTCTGTTGTTTCTCCACTTAGATCTTTTGAAGTGTGTTGAGGACTAGTGGTCATTCTAGACATGTTTGATTCATTGGTTAATGTGGAGGTGATAGATTTTGTGTTGGAGGTTGAAATGGTAAATGTTGTTGATGGCTGCTCCTCTGTTGTGGAAAACTCAGTGTTCTTTGTCCGTCCAGTTGTGGTTTGTGGATTTGTTTCTGTGGAACTCAGAATTGTATTTGTAACTTCAGGTAAGGATGTTATGTCTATAGTGGAGGGGGGTGTCACTGATTCAGTTGTCTTTGTAGATTTTGTAGCTGTGAAATATGTGGCTGAGGACACAGTTGTACTTTCCTCTGAAGATTGGCTTGATCTTGTGGACCCATCTTTAGTAGTTGTCTTCATTGAAAAATTGTCCACCGTGGATTGTTCAGACTCCATTGAGGTAGGAATTGGTGTGCTTTGGGTTTGAGTTGGAGTTACATATTTTTGTGTAATAACAGGTGAGGATGTGATGTCTAAAGTAGAGGGGGACGTTTCCAATTCACTTGTCACTTCCGATTCATTGGGGTTTGCAGTTGTTGATGGTGTTGAAGGATCCTCTCCAATTGTGGAGATTTCAGGAAATGTCCACTGATTATACATTTTAGGTTGATTTGAGGTATTGGGCAGATGGTAATCTGCTACGTTTGTACTGTCAAGGGCTTTCTTCATATTTTTTGAAAGGTTTATAGAACGAGATAGTTCATTCCCAATGATTGTAAAATTATTTCTAGACTGTTTTATTCCATTATTTTTTCCAAATGTCCCAAGATTCTTCCCTGTGGAATCTGAGTCAGTTTGTGTTTTTGAATATTGATCTGGTAAAAAATGTAAAGAAAACATGTTTTCACAATTTCTCTATAGAACTTTTTACATTTGTTACATTTCAAAATTGCCACTTTGGCTTATTTAAACATTCCTAAATATTCCAAATGAATATTTAAACCTTATGAATTCAAAATGTCTTTGAAAAATACAAATCTAATGCATATGAATATGTAAAGACACAAACAGCTAATGTTTTGTAGCAATGTGTACTAACACTGCATTTACTCAGTACCTACCAATATAGCTAAATTCTCAGCTGAGCAGTGTATTTAGGGGAAAGTAACGTTAATGATTATGAATTTCTTAATTAAATAATTATGAGCTCCTTTGATTCATTTTTTTTGCATATTTGTCTCTTTTCAGCATACAGGTGATAAAGAATTGTATGTGTAGTGTTCACTGCTCAGTAAGCATCATATTAATGATCTGTGTCAAATTTATTATGAGACATAAAGTAATAACATAACTATTAAATTAATGCTTGATGTAAAATAATCAAATAAAACAGGCTGCAATCTGACGAAGGATAAACATTTCACCTCTGTCAGTTACTGGCAGAAGCCACAGAAAATAAGCATGAATGGCTCTGTTAGATTATTCCATATTTCCAATATGTATAATATTTTTTATGTTTTCAATATTTACATTACCCTACTTTTTATCTCCACGTTAGCATTGTCAATGTTAATCTTTTGTTTCATAATGTAAAGCAGTTATTTCTTCATGTACAAAATTCATGAACTTACCTATTGTGACAAATATACTTATCATTATGATGGTAAGGATTATGGAGTATGATAAAAGCCTTTTCCCTACTATGTGTCTCAGGATGCCCCACATATTTTCTGTCTTGTAATAGTCTCTCAGTCCAGAAATATTTAGAAAAGGCCATCCACCGTCCAGTTGATTGTTTGAAGCCTGAGTGGTTTTGAAGTGAACCTTTATAACGTTTCCCACAGGATTTTCCAAACACTTCAATCTCACTGCCGCAGTAATACTCACTGCAATTGTATTGCAGTTGTGTTTATGAATCAGTTAGAGGTCTATTGTAAGTTTCATCAGCAATAGGCTACCAAGTAGTTGGCTGAGTTAGGTATTAATGCAGTGCACACCCTAGGCAAATTGAAATGGTTTTGGCTATTTGTATTGCTCGTCTTGGAGCTCCTTGACATTTAGTCACACCCTCTACATCTATTCCCTTAAGAAAGGTCAGCACAGGAAGTACAAAGAGTGGGGGCCAGATTCAGATTTGGCAATAAAGAGAGTATGAGACTTAAGAATATTCCCACTGGGCACAGACGTCAATTCAACATCTATTCCACGTTGGTTCCACGTCATTTCATTGAAATGAACTTGAAACAACGTAGATTCAACCAGTGTGTGCCCAGTGGGTTAGATAGTTTGAGAGAGGAGGAGAGGGTTCATTAAAGATTCAAAAAGTATTTTCAAAAAGGCAATTCAAACACCATTTCCAAAATATGATTTTTCTTTGTGATATTGTCCCTGTTTCCTTGCACTTATTTTTATACAAATGTGTATGCTTTGAGATATTCCTCAGGCTGTTGCTAATTGTGCTTTAGTATTCAGAAGATATTCACTGGTGCTAAAATCAGTTACTGTGTAGACAACAATACAAGTTGAAATCTTACTTCACAAATCCAAATCAATGTAGAAATATTCATTCATCATGTATACTAAAAGCACAATATTTGAAAACAAACAATCCACCAAATTATTACACCTGCTGGATTATCAATTACCAACAAATGTCCCAAGTGTGTGCCTTTGGAGCAAGCTCCAATGTTAAGGAATTGATAAAGCCTAATTTACAGTAGTTCTACACAAGCAAAACAATCACTCTGATAGTGGTGCGATAATGTTGATGGGAAATCTGAATTTATTTGCTTTGTTCCACCTGAAACCTCTTGAAAGTTTTCAAGCCATCTAAAGTAAATATCACCTGTATTACTTACCAGTGTTAGGTTGCTAGGGAACCATATTGTCACATATCAGTATTTAAATATGTTTGTAAACTGTTCGATCAAAATAAATATAATCTTTGAATTGCCAAGGGTTATGACTATGTAAACACAAAATGTGTATCAAGGTTATGGAGGTTGTTAGGACTTTTTAATTCCCTTGCATTTAATATTAGCATGTGGGTATGCTATTAACTATATGTACTAATAACCATCATTCATTATTATATTCTGAAACTACTGGTGGGTAAATTATTTATTTATTTTTGATAACCTCTCCCCATGTTAAAATGTCTTCCTGCTTATGGTACTCAGTTGCATCAGTGCATTTACACAAAGGTCAAGTAGACTGCAGTTAAAATGTTGTTAATGTAAAATCTACAGGCCAAGTTCATCAATCAGAGATGAAGGAGAACTGTGAGTCAGTCACTTGGGCAATATTTACGATATAGATTATGGTGTCGAACTCAATTGTGTGATCTTGCTATAAATATACATTATTATCGACTGAGTGAGCTCATAAACAGGTCAATTGTACCAGGATGAAGTTTGAATATAAGAATTGGACTATAAAACAGTGTATTTCATGGTCTTCCTGAGTACATCTGAGATATGGGCAGTGCACTCCACACCTCTGTTTGCTCATGTCTAACTCCTTTCAGAAAATGTGTATTTTTTGCTGGATTCCCTTTTCTCTTGAAACAGGAAATATACTTACTGGTAATCTGTTATGTACTTTATTATTCACCTTGTGATAAAGCAGTGTATGATAGGCTACAGAGGCCAATACGAGGCATAGACAGTCACAGCCCTTAGCTGACTTCATTTACCCCTCCCTGTTCTCCAGGGAGACAATCTCATATTTTTATTTTGGTCTGGGTGTTGTTAGGTGTGCCTTCATTGACATCACAAACCACGTTTCCATCCACAGTTTTTATGAATAAAATCTTACCGTATAAACGACAGCTGTGATGGAAACAGGAAGTTTCGGTACAATTTTATAAATGCAGACATTATTTGTTTGTTCGACCTGGTCGGCTCACACTGGGCACACTGGTTTAATCAACGTTGTTTCCACGCCATTGCAATGAAATGACGTTGAACCAACGTGGAATAGATATTGAATTGACATCTGTGCCCAGGGGGTTTTGTGTCAGTAAAATTAATGATGCGAGAAATGGCGGTGGAAATGCCTTTATGTGCAAATATTGATATAATACGCATCATATCAAAGTAAACTTCGAGTCACAAGATGATATGGTGTGGGGTCCTCCCACTATGACTTGGGGAAACCATGCAGTTTATTGGCTACAGATGAAATAAATTATGATGAACTTCACAGGGTGGTGAAAGTGCAAGGTGATGAGCTTGATGCTGCTTTCTAATGAATATCGAGGGTTTTACTCTGGTGACATGATGATCGATGCTTGACTGCCGTTTGACAAATAAAAATATTCTTGCTCTTATCCATAATAATCTAATCATGTAGACTAGCCTAACCCCAGCCTACCTGTACTATATCTGCAAGCTGTTGGCTAGATAGCACACATGCCAAGGCCAGAATAGGCACATTTGCTATTTAACGCAACAGTTTTTGTAACAAAACTATCAGTAGAGTTGAAAATGTGATGGAAACATATTGAACATTCAATTTTTATTTGGTACATGAAAACGTAATTGAAAAAGCACAAAGTACAGTGGGGAGAACAAGTATTTGATACACTGCCGATTTTGCAGGTTTTCCTACTTACAAAGCATGTAGAGGTCTGTAATTTTTATCATAGGTACACTTCAACTGTGAGAGACGGAATCTAAAACAAAAATCCAGAAAATCACATTTGTATGATTTTTAAGTAAATCATTTGCATTTTATTGCATGACATAAGTATTTGATACATCAGAAAAGCAGAACTTAATATTTGGTACAAAAACCTTTGTTTGCAATTACAGAGATCATATGTTTCCTGTAGGTCTTGACCAGGTTTGCACACACTGCAGCAGGGATTTTGGCCCACTCCTCCATACAGACCTTCTCCAGATCCTTCAGGTTTCGGGGCTGTCACTGGGCAATACGGACTTTCAGCTCCCAACAAAGATTTTCTATTGGGTTCAGGTCTGGAGACTGGCTAGGTCACTCCAGGACCTTGAGATGCTTCTTATGGAGCCACTCCTTAGTTGCCCTGGCTGTGTGTTTCGGGTCGTTGTCGTGCTGGAAGACCCAGCCACGACCCATCTTCAATGCTCTTATTGAGGGAAGGAGGTTGTTGGCCAAGATCTCGCGATACATGGCCCCAACCATCCTCCCCTCAATACGGTGCAGTCGTCCTGTCCCCTTTGCAGAAAAGCATCCCCAAAGAATGATGTTTCCACCTCCATGCTTCACGGTTGGGATGGTGTTCTTGGGGTTGTACTCATCCTTCTTCTTCCTCCAAACACGGCGAGTGGAGTATAGACCAAAAAGCTCTATTTTTGTCTCATCAGACCACATTACTTTCTCCCATTCCTCCTCTGGATCATCCAGATGGTCATTGGCAAACTTCAGACGGGCCTGGACATGCGCTGGCTTGAGCAGGGGGACCTTGCGTGCCCTGCAGGATTTTAATCCATGACGGCGTAGTGTGTTACTAATGGTTTTCTTTGAGACTGTGGTCCCAGCTCTCTTCAGGTCATTGACCAGGTCCTGCCGTGTAGTTCTGGGCTGATCCCTCACCTTCCTCATGATCATTGATGCCCCACGAGGTGAGATCTTGCATGGAGCCCCAGACCGAAGGTGATTGACCGTCATCTTGAACTTCT